CCCCCCCCCCGGCCGGCCTGGACCCTCCGGAGGGCGCCAGCGAGGCTCGGGGCCAGGCCGCGGATGGGTTTGCGCCCGCAGCCCGAACACGCCCCTCCATTCCGGGAGGGAGGCCCGCACGACACCTGGGTGGCGGGGTTTCGGGGAGCACCGGCCCCACCACGCCGCCGGAGCCCCAGCGGGACCCTGGAGCCCTGCAGACCGGGGAGGACAACAAAGGAGGCGCCGCGGCCCAAGGAGGGGGCGTCCCTGCCCGGCGCGCACTGCGCCCCCACCCCACCCAGGCGCGGGTGACTGGAGGTCCCCGCTTACCAGCCTGGGGGGGCTCGCCCAGGCGTCGGGAGGACCCCCCACCCACGTGGCTGGTGCTTCTGGGAACAGGACTTCCTGAAGCTTCCTGCCCAGCGACGTGAGGCGCACACAGCTTGGTTCCGAGGGGACGCACAGGGCCTCGGTGTGTTGCGGTCGCACGCGGGGGTGGGGTGGGGGGGGGCGACACGAAGGCCGGGAGTCCGGGCCCACTCGGGCCTGAGGGCGTGGGGCGGCCGCCGCTCACCATCAAGGGGCACTTTCAACTCGGCTCCGGGTGAGAGGCCAGGGACGCGCAGGAGCCTCTGCATGAGTCGCCCCCAGGCCCGCGGCGACAGGAGAGGCCTCGGTCCAGGCGCTCCACGGAGGCCGCGCCGAAGCTTTGCTCCGGGAGGCAGGGCTGCCCGAGCCACGCCGCCGAGGGCGGCTTGGTCCTCGTCGCCAGAAACCGACACTCACCGTGACCCGCGATGCGCTGGGCCTGGGAAAGGGGTGGGACCGGGCCTGCCAGGCTGCCCCTCACTGGCGCGCGTGGAATTTACTCAACGCTCAAAGAAAAATGTCAAGGAGAGTGACTGCCCAAAGAGCTGCGGTCCCCCTGCCTGGGCCCTGGCCCGCCCTCCGCCCCCCAGCTGCGTCCCAGTTGCTCCGGATGAAGAGAAGGGAGGGAAAGGAATGGACCCCTGTACCCACTGAGTCCCATTCTGTGGTCTCCCCAGCTCCCCACTGCCTGGGCCCGAGCTGCCCCCTCAGAGAAGGGGTGACAGTGGTTCCCCGGCTGGGTGGGAGCCGCCCCAGATTTACTTCCCACTCACCCCTCCCCAAAGAGCCCCTATCCTGAAGCCAGGGTCAGAAAGGTCAGTGAGGCTGGAGATGGCGGACACCTGGTCTCCAGGCAGGAGGTGTGTGCGCCTGGGCTGTTGGTGACAGTGGGCAGTGCTGGGGTGAGGGACAGGAGGGGGTCCGTCTGCCCATGAGGGGGAGGCTTCCGCTGGACAGAGGGACCCACTGACTTGGAGGTGGCAGGATCCTAAGTCCCCACTGGGAGCTCTGTCTTGCTGGGCTGATTCTTAAGACACCTCAGCTGGAACCCAAAAAGTCGCCCCTGGGGTCCCCCAGTGGTTCCAACATCCTCTTAGTGCTGCAGTGAGGATCAAGGAGGGAGGAAAAACTTGATTGCAAGTCATGTCTTAAGAATCCCAGAAGAAACAAAAATTTACAGAAATTCTTTTAAATAAATCACCGAGAAGGAACTCTACTCCTTGGCATAGTGACTGAGTTTAAATAACTACCATTATTTTATTTCCTTCCTTTTTGTGGAGTTAAAAATAAATTTCAAACCCTTACCAGGAGCTTTAAGAGAAAGACCGCTTAAATGTGAGTCTGAGCCACTGTCCTGCCCCAGGTGACAGGGTGAGGGGGGTGGGGCCTCAGCCCTCTCCCCTCTGGGTCCCTGCTCCCCAAGGCAGAGCCACTTGAACTACAGGCACTTTCCTGAAATCTTGTCCTGGGCTGAGCCCTGCAGAGCGCCCACCACTAATTAGAGACATCTCGTCAGTCTTGACTTGAAATTGAAAGAAAATAATGTTGAAATATTTATGACTGACATTTACAGTCAGGCGTCTTTTAAAAGTGGGGCACCTCCCCTGTGCAGGGGCAGCTCGCTTCCCTGGGAATTTGGCACAGGGGTGGGGAGCACGGGATGTCTGCACACCCCAGGTTGCAGGAGACACGGACAAGCACTTCATGCTATGTTTTCAGATGCAGAAGTACGGTTTGTACAACAACCAGCAATCATTAAGTAAGCTTTGTATCAGGTTAGCTGTATCTTGAGAGAAAACTGAACTATGATGTTACTTCCTCTTCCACCCAACCATCTCCACCTGCAGCTCGCTGAATTCAGGATATAAAGTATTGCAAAGGCTGTGGTTTGAAGTAAATGTGTGACCGCACAGACGATTGGCGGAATTGCTCTTAGAAATTAGAACCTACAGATAGTGTCCTGACCTATTTAAACTATTTTGATCTGTGCTTACAAGTGAAGGTGCACAGGCTTGCCTTGCGTTATCACTGAGCCATTTATGGTGAAATAGCTTCAAAAAAATTTTTTTTAGCTATCCATGTGATAAGCTTAAAAGGAGACAGAAAAAAGAAGAACATCTTGTACCCAAACTTCATTGAGAGAACACAGGCAGCCACACAAATAGGAAACTTCACGGGGAACAAATATTTGCTGACAGGCAGCTAAATGTAGCGTTTCCCTAAGGCATTAGCATGTAACCAGTTACCAGAGCAATTCAGTGTCCAAGTAACTGCTTCAATTCTAAAACATGCTGGTACCAAAAAGCTTATGGGCGCAGGTATTCCATTTCATTCATATTAAACTCCTAATATCATTGGTGTATAACATTTCTAAGAACTCCATGTGCAAACCCAGCCTTCTTCTGGGTCCCTCTGCACTTCCGCATTTCTATAACTGTAAAGCCCATTTTCCCTGTAAAATTTTGAAATTAGTTTTGGAGACTGCTGATGAGTTGCTATAACAAGTCTGCCTTTGGTTTCCTAGATGAGTCATCTTAGGATTATTTGGAAATTTCATGCTAAATTTACTAAAATATATTTACTAAAATACAGTAACGATCACTTTAAAGCCAATCAAAATTCTCCACAGTTATCAGGCCATGGGAATGACCAACTTAAAAAATATAGGAGGGGGTGTCTTAAAATATTTTAAAAGTATTTTTTAAAGCTGTTAAGCGAACTATTTTTAATTTGGAATTCGCCACAGAATTCTAATAAATAAGAGAAGTCAGGCGGAAATAATCATGTATTAATTCTCTGCATTACAAAATCTTTTCAGAATCTATTATCAGAGCAAGAGGCACTGCCGTCTGAATTCAGGGTGGGAGACACCCTTTGTGCCGCTGAAAGCTTTGTCCTCTGTGCAGATGAAATTGTACTTGCAAATCTGCCATTCAAGTAGTAAAAAAAGCCTAGATGGGCAAAAGAAAAGAATCTCCGAGGAATAATTATTCTTAAATATACACTTTAATGAAAACAGGCGGGGACACACCGTTTTAGAGTGGGCTATTTGCTGAGTTTTTCAGGCATAGGCGTAAAAGTAA